AACATCTCCATTTAAAGAAATTCTGAAGAACACATAACCAAAAGAATGCAATACACAGCACGTAGAAATGTTAACTCTAACGTCCACAATGAAAGCGTCAAATAACGTCCACAATTGAAAGCGTCAAATAAGACATGGGTCTCTGAAGCAGCTAGTTTTGGTGGCCAATTTCCCCAAATGTTTGATGCTCTCTTTCCTATAGGGCTTTCAAGAAACAAACAGAAGTGCTTTGCCATTGGTTTGTCAAGCAGTCGTATGTTGGCTATCCCACAACTTCGGCTGACCTGCCCGGCATCAACCAGAGCCCACGCCTTCTCCATCATGGCTCCTCCTCTGTGGAATGGACTTCCTGAAGGAGTCAGAGGGAGATCTTCAGGAGATGCTGCAAGGCTTGCCTGTTTTCCAGGGTTTTTGAGGGAGTTTGAATTGGTAGGCATCTTTTCAGGTGTGTGCGTGGGTGGGAGAGATTTGGGGGTTATTTTATTGTGGTTTGGCCCCAACCAAGTATTAACTAGGGCCAACCCAGCTTCTGAGATTCAATGAGCTCAGGCTAGCCTGGGCCATCCAGTTAAAATAAGTAGTAAAATAAAAATAACGCTGAGCATGTTTGCTCCCACAACTGGTGGATTCCTTCTGAGGCCCAATACCCCGCTCATGAAATCAAGCTTAAATTTAGAACTTGCTGCTGGTACAATCCAGTGTGTACCAACCTGGGACATCACACCAGCACGGTAAGTAGGTGGCTGATGTCACTGAGCCAAGAACAACCCACAATGCCAGGCACATAAGGGGAAACCTGTTATGCAGCCCAGGAAGCCAGAAGACATGGGGAAAAGAACTACTCATCTATGCTTTGCCTCAAAAGCAGCCTTTCACCTGAGACAAGTAACATTTCCTTTAAGTGAGCAAATGCTCAAGCTGACACACAAATGAGAGGACAGGATGGCAAAAGGCTCCACTAAATATTTTTGCACCTATCTGCAGTTTGATCAATAGTCATTCCACACCATCATAAGCTTTCCGTCCTTTATGATGGATGTAGTGTTCAGCTACTTCCATAACACTGGAATTCAAATGAGGCATAACCTCCTCCTTGCACCTCCTGGGGCATTACAAACACCAGCACAAGTTGCACATGATATTGCAACAGCTTGTCCATCTAGGACTAGGGTTGCCAACTTCCACGTGGGGCCTGGAGTTCTCCCAAAATTACAACTGATCTCCAAACTACAATGCTCAGTTTCCATTGAGGAAGTGGCAGCTTTGGAGGGCGGACTCTACGGCATTACAGCCCTACTGAGCTCCCTCCTAGGGTTGCCAGATCCCCAGTCCCTGGCAGCCGGTGGGAGGAAATCCTGCCCCCAGCTGGCCTGAAAGGCGACATGATGACATCACCGGGAAGTGACAGCATCGCGGCAACACTCTGGGGTTTTTTTAAACTCTATGGTAAAATTGCCCACAAACCATAGAGTTTTACCCAAAAACAAGAGCATCACTCCCCAACATCAACAATGTGATGACGCAACTTCTGGGGGGCGTCATTGCAGTGCACGTGCCTGAAGATCCCAGAATGGACCCAGGAACCCCCCCCCCCCACACCGGCTGCCAGGTAGGACCTGGCAACCCTACTTCCTCCCCAAAACTCCATCCTCTGCAGGCTCCACCCTCAAATCTCCAAGAATTTCCCAGCCTGGAGTTGGCAGCCCTATCTAGGACCACAGTGCTTACCCCCCACTCAAAATCCTCTCCTTTTTCTTCATGAATCAAGAAAATGCAACCAAAATAGGGGAGAATAGATTAAAATAAAAACATATATAATTCTAATAAAACAATTGTCTTTTAATAAATGCACAAGGTACAAGTCAGAAAGCATTCATATCAAAGTAAGGAAGGATTCAGATTTTTTAAAAAATAACACAGACTAAACATGTTTCAACTAAACAGCCTTCTTTGGTGGTCCCTAAAACATAAAAAGCATTGCTTCATAAAGTTCATATACAATTAAAATATCAAGAGTATAAGCACAGTATCGATATCATAATGGACTGTTGGACTGAGCCCCATCGATGATTCTTCACAGGCCTTTGGTGGGGAGTGGGGCAGGCCTTTGCTTCTCACAAACCTTCAAGGTGGCATACCTTTTCTCTGACTCTTCCCTCAACCAGAAATGAAAACTCCTATATGACTACACAAAGCCAGTCTTTGATGCAACTACTTAATTCAGAAATACAAATGATTCACAAGGAATACAATTTCCTCTTTAAACAATTGCTTAAATCTATGTGTCCTGCTGCTCAATGCCTCCCAGCTTTGGGCAAGTGAAACTCAATGAAGGATGTTTGACTCCTTGGTCTACACCCATTCTGTGCCTTTCAAACTATCTGCATCATTTCACATATAGACACACATAGAAATTAACTTTAAAGTCAGACAGAGTACCGGCCTTAAAAAACAATCATCTCACGCTTGAGAATGGTTATGTGTAAGTTTCTTTCAACAATGAAATGAGTACCTGGAAAAGTACTAGAAGCTAGGCAGCTTTATTTGGGTGCTAATATTACTTTAAGCCACAGTAAAAAGCGCCTTCACATAAAGTATAATGGCCACAAGTTTTGAAATGGAGGTACCAGAATTGTTACTCTTCCCTTTAAAAACATTAAAAATATCTGGCACAGGATGAGAGGACAAGGCTAAACTATCCAGACAGCCAACACTTTATAAATCCAAGGAGAAGCGACTGTTAATATATTTCCACAATAATGCAATGTAAATTGAAGGGTCATTTCCCTTTTATATCACTTTTATAAGGCAGTTTACTTTTTTAAAAAATGGAAAAACCCTGGTTTAACCCATAGCTTGCAACTGAAGTTCAAACTCAGACTGTGGAGCAATGCAGACGGCACATCTTTTCAAATCAGAGAGTAGTCCCTTATCTGAAAAACCAAGGGACACTTAATTCAGTTCCTGAATTTCCCCATGTCTCCACAATTACATCAGGCTGCCTTCATCATATGATGCTTGCTTGCTCAAACGTTAATGTTTATACTGCTCCCAATGCTCGAGTGCGGGTGGGCATTCGCTCTGGGAGGAGGAAGGCCAAACACTACGCTGCCTGTGTAGCAAAAAAGGTAGTAACTCTCTTGGATGATTCCAGTTGCTGTTTTTTTAAAAAAAAACAAATCTGACTTAAGGCAGGCTGTTTTCTATGCTATATACCATGTCAAACACATTCAACATGTTTCACTTGCTGTGCTAGGGACTATTCAAAGGTGAATTCAAAGCTTGAACCATGAAGCTGCCTTATACAGACCACTGATCTGTTGTCAGTATAGTTCGTTATAACTGGCAGCTGCTCTCCAGGTTATCAGGCAGAGGTCTCTCACATCACCTACAACCTGATCCTTTTAAATGGAGATTCTGGGGACTGGATGTGGGAATTTCTGCATGCAAATTTCTGCATGCATGTACCACTGAGCCACAGCTTGAATTCATTAGTACACTTTGTTTACTTTATTTTTATTCCATCATACCCCACCTTTCTCTCCAATGGGGACCCACAGCAGCTTACATCATGTCCCTCTCCTCCATTTTATCCTCACAACGACCCTGCAAAGCAGGTTAGGCTGAGAGAGAGTGACTGGTCCAAGGTCACCCAGCAAGCTTCCCTGGCACAAGTGGGGATTTGAACCTGGGTCTTCCAGACACTTCCAGAAACTAGCCGGACACTCGTCCCCACTATATCACACTGGCAAAGTACTGCTTTCTCTCTTTGTTTGACAAGACATTACTACTAAATCAAGAATGCTGAGGAATAGTCAGTGTACTTTCCCTCCAAACAACGGAACAAGCCTCTCAGAAATGGGATAATGCATGCAGGGAGCTTAAAGCCAATTTAAAGGCTTCTGCCCCACCCAAATTTAAACTCAAGATAGCTTACAACAGAAACCATACAACACAGAGAACGCAAAACAACAGAACATAGTTAAAATAACTTCATCTGCCACATCTGTGAACAGCTCACCTCAAAGAGTCACTCATCTTGAGAAACGGTTCAGGTTAAGGAAAAATCTAATAAATGGGGTTGGAACTACAGTGGAAACACCAGCAGCAGAGCAATATTATCGGAAGCCTTAACTTCAGCGTCCTGATCCAGGCCTTCAATGCAGGATCCACAAGTAAACAGGCGGGATTCTGGCTCCGTTGTGGATGGAACCCCAGGCTGCCAGACAATGGCACAGTTTACCATGGGACAATGGATATCACGCAAGGGGAACAACTGGGGGTGACACTGAAACCAAACCAAATTTCATGCCGCTCCCCCAAACCCACCACTTCCACAGAACTGAAGCCGCATTTGGAGTAGAACAAAGTTGGGGACCAGTGGCACTGGACTCAAACTTTGTTCTGCTGCTTCAGACCAACACAGCTTCTCACTTCATTTGGAGCAGTTCTCCTTCACACTCCTGACAGATTATCGTACTTCCGCTCCAAAACCAGCAAGATCACAGATGTGATTTTTTTAAAAAATGCAACACAAGTTCACACAGACTGAGCCAACAAAATATTACAGTTCCCTGTTAAATTTCACTCCACACCTGTTTCTTGCTTAGCAGGACAAGGCTAATTCCAGCCAAATACACACCATATTACTATGTTTTCAGCTGAACTCCATAAGCCAGCTTTTCCCATCATCTGACCATTTGGCAGAAAACAAGCAAGATCAAAAGGGCTGGTTTCCTAACAAATGGAAAGTCACCCCAAGCAAGCGCAACAAGTTACAAGGCAGAACATATTTTAAACAGCAGCCTTTTTTTCCTCCCTCAAGGATTAAGAAAATAATACATTCTTGCTGTTTCTGAGAATCAGAAACCCCTCCAAGTTCAGCATGCATATTATACAGTCTTCTCTCTCTCTTTCTCTCTCACACACACACACACATTGACTTAACCTGCCAATTCCGCTCTACCTTCAACCATGCAACTAGACCCTCCATTACTCACAAGAGGGAGCTGGATATACCGGTCGTGAGTAGCGCGTCTGCCCCATTATTAGATTCTTCAAGGCAGCTCAGAGAAAAAAGAAAGACGAGAGGGAGCGTATTCTGGAAGCAGACATTGGCCTTTCAAAGGATGACGAGTCAGCTCCTGGAGGCAAGGAAACTTATATCTGGTGTCCGGAGAAACAGACCGCTGAATTTAGCCAGAGATCCTCAGGGTGTCAAGTCAAGGCACGGCCGTTCCTGTTCTTTCTGCACTCCTGGCCCGGGCAACTTGGCGATTCTCATACATCAGCTCCCATGCCAGCTCCCTTCAAGGAGGAATGCCTGTCATTCCAGAGTGCGTACTCTCCTTAGGGCTGGATCTCAGGAAGGAGGAGTCATTTGAGCATACGCAAAATAATCAACACCCCTTGCTCTTGAAAAGCAGAGGTTTAAAGGCTGCAGGAGGGAGGGAGGGAGGAAGGAAGGGGCCAGCAGGATTGCTTGGGAGACTTCAAAAGGGAAGTTTATAAGCAGGCCAGTCCTAATTGCCATACTTTTACTCTTTTTTTATAAAAGGGGGGGAGGGAAGAAGCCCAATACTCTGGAGTTTCTCAACCCTTTGGGCACACATTACAGATCACCTGAAATGCATTAGTTCTCCCTGCACACCCTTTAACTACCTTGTTTACGGCTAATCAAGATTACATGGTGGTTTAAAAAGAGAGAGAGTGGACTTTGGCACATACTTTATGTATACATGACTTCTTGGATCAGTTACTGGTCATGATTTCAACCCCCTCCCAACATACTAAAATGCAGAGGAGTAAACTTAGGTTAGCATATTACAGTGAAGCAAACACAAAATGGAACAGGTTTGCTGCAGTGTTCAAAAGGGTAATCATATGCAGTTCTTCATACTGCTCTGTCCAGGGCATATACGCCTCCCTATGCCTATCCAAACTTGCTCTGTGGACATATATTGCTGCCTTCCCAACTTATACAGCTTTCAAGGTACAATTCAGCAATCTTTCTGATTTTTGAAAGGTTAAAACTTTGTATCTCGACTGCTTTAAAGATAAGGCAGGCTATGAAGGGGATAGCACATACCATGGTACCCTCGCGCCTCTCTTCCCCATCAACAAAACACACTTTCTACATTGTTGAGGACACCCACTCAACTGTAACCAGGTGTGCCCCCCCACAGTATGTCCTGTTTCATACACAAACACAAGATTCTTTCTTTTATTGAACAAAAAAGTTTGATAGCTTTGGTGTAGTGGTTACAGTGGTCAGACTAGGACTGGGAAAGACCTAGGTTCAAACCTCCACCTGCCATGAAACTTACCAGGTGACAGGACCAGTCATTCCCACTGCCTAACCTATCTCACAAGGTTATTGTAAGGATAAACTGGAGGAAGAAAGAACCACGTGCAACATTCCCAAGCTCCTAAGAAGATGGGTGGGATAAAAATGAACTCAAAAATAGAATCCGCTATCTTGTTTCAATTTTTGAGAGATAAAATACTTTTTAAACAAAAAAATGGGCAGAGGTTGTGCTTTTAGTTATATACTATAATAAGAATGCATGACATGTTCACTGTGAATCAGAAATGTAAGCTAGCACGACAAATGTAACTGATATGTTTTTATTGTAACCATTGCACGTGACCTCATGAAAGATCTGTAGCCTATTATAATATGCAAACAATTAGATTAATCAAAGGAGCTGTTCATTTTTCCGTTCAGTATGCATGCTGCAGCATAACAGCACACACATCACTCTGACACCACCAAGGTCTCTCTCACCTTTTTTTTTTTAAGATAAATTTTATTGAGTATAATACAAGCATTACAATTTAAAGTTCGATATAGATATTAAAACAGTTACCTTTTTATCAGGGAGGTGGCTAGAGATCTAAATTGGTGTCCAAGATCAGCGATAGAGGTGGGTGAAAAACAAAACTAAACTAAGGCTTAACTAAAACTTAAAGCATACAAGACTAAAGTGCTATTAAATTAAGGGGATGTCTTACCCAGGGATAAGTGAACAACCGGGTTAAGATGGGGTTGCACTCCTCCTTCAGATTTGGGCTCACAAACTTGGCAAGGTTTCCATTCTCCTCTGTAGGGTTATTACTCTGTATGTTGCAGTGCCCTGACCTAGCCCAGGCTAGCCCAATCTGGTCAGATCTTGGAAGCTAAGCAGGGTCAGCCCTAGCTAGTATTTGGAAGGTCGAACTCCAAGGAATACCAAGTTCGTGACACCATGGCAAACCACCTCTGAACATCTCTTGTCTTGAAAACCCCACGAGGTTGCCATAAGTCAGCTGTGACTTGACAACACTTCCCACCACCACCATGTTGCAGTAGCTCTACTGGTGCTAGGATTTTTAACTGGCATCTATCACTTTGGGAATGTTGCAAAATCAAGAGGTAGGATATAAAACATTTTAATAAATAAAGCTTTAATACCAACTTTGTGTGAGTCAGGCTATTATATGGAAAATAGGAATCTCCCAGTTACTTGGCCAACTGAAGATACCAGCAGTTGGAGAGTGGTTTAATATCTGGCATTTGTAACACAGAATAAAGTACAAACCATGCACTTCTCATTAAATAAGCCATTCCTAAAAAGCCAAAGTTTTGAGTTTTCATGAATCACCGCAAGGCAGCCCTAAGATCAAGTCAGGTGATGTCTGGAAAACACATCCTAAGGGGGGGATTTCCACTCCATTCACTTCAAGGACCTATTCCACTTGTTGAGTTTGGTTTTCCCCTACTCAGAGATGAGAGTCTCAGGCCCGTAAATGGATACTAAAAACCTCCGTTATCCTGGATTCCAAGCCTCAGAATCCAGATTATGGACAACCAAAGCCCTACACTTCTTAAGAAAACTCACTTCAAGTTAAAGCTGTTTGCTTTGAAGCACAGAGAAAGCTTCTTAATACACAGTCACACAAATGGATCAAAGTCCAAAAGTGGCAAAAATGTAGTGCTTTTGTTTTCCTGAGCAAGCTCACAAGAATGCACTATGGCAGTGGTACTGATATGGTGGCTTGCAGAGAGACACATCTGCAATTACGACAAACTAAAAGAGCCACATGACTACTGTAAGCTTTATGTGCCACCCCACTGAGCACGACACACAAAATAATATGGCAGTGGAAAGTGTCGTCAAGTCACAGCCAGTGTTCCCTCTAAGCTGAGTTAGTGTGAGCTAGCTCACAGTTTTTTAGCCCCCAGCTCACAGATTTTTGTCTTAGCTCAGGAAGGATGGCTCCAGAGCAAACTAGTTTATGCAGTAGCCAAATCACCTGCTCACAACTTTAATGCCAGTAGCTCACAAAGTAGAATTTTTGCTCAACAAACTCCATAGCTTAGAGAGAACATTGGGCACAGCTGACTTATTGTGACCCTGTAGGGTTTTTAAGGCAAGAGACGTTCAGAGCCGGTTTGCCATTCCCTGCCGCTGTCCAGCACCCCTGGACTTCCTTGGTGGTCTCCCATCCAAGTACTAACCAGGGCCAACCCTGCTTAGCTTCTGAGATCTGACGAGACTGGGCTGGGCTATCTAAATCAGGGCACACAATAATACAAGTTTTAACTATTAAAATGTAACTATAACTTTGGATGCAACCACTCAGTATTCCTGGGCCCTCTACTTCCATCCCAAGATGGTTCACTCTACTGCTGTTCACTCATCCTCCAGTTTCTCTGCCAGTGGCTGTTCAAGGTGGGGACCACCTGCCAACTACAAGTAACACTGGGCAGTGGTTATGCCTACTTCCTTAGATCATGGGGCAGGTGCCACGTTGGGAAATAGTGTTCAGAAGAGCCCCAGGTGTCATATCAGAGAGCCACATGTGGGCTTCCAA